TGCATTCCGGTCTCCCTCCCGGTCTGTTTCTTTTTTTTTTTTTTTTTTTTTTTTTTTTTTTTTTTTTGACTTCCCCCCCTCGTGTTCATAAGTCATGGCTTGTGGTTTCAGGAAAATAGTATGAGGGGCGCACTGCTGGCTGAGTTGGCACTTATCCATTCCAGGAACTAAGTGAGATTTAGTCTACCCATAGGCTTGGTGTCCTTTGGGTCATGATAGGATAGAGTAAACATGGCAACTTGGTTAAGTAGTAGGCTGGGGCCCGATTAGCGAGTTCCGTTCTTGGGTCGCAGGAATCGCACCACCAGATACCTTAAAAACTAAAGCCCCGTCCCACCAATCGCATTCCAACGCCTCGATTGACACGAGGCGTGAGACTACTACTAGTAACTAGATACACGCAAACCTGCAGATACAAGTACGTATGAAGGTCTAGTATGTAACGATGGATGCATGTAAAGTCAGTTACATACACACTCCGCTACACTTCAATACACCCTTTTTTTTTCACTTTCATGTACATACAGCATACATGTTTTACCTAACGCAGGGTTACCCTGCTGCATGGCAAGTGTACATATGAGCATACAGTATGCATGTATGCATGCACGGAGCAGGAATGTAATAGTTAGTTAATCTGACTGTTCTGCTTGGGATACATCAATTCAACTCAAGTCTCATGCAGACTAGAGCACTGCCAAAAAGAAAACAAGTTTCTTCCCAACACTACACAGAGGCATAATGCAAAAAGGCGCCGCGTATGTCAAGTCTGACTATTGCTGTCGTGTAACAGCGGAATCATGTTCTGATATATGCCCGATCATGAAGTGTCAATGTCCTTTATCTATCAAAGACGTAATGCCTATAGTACGTGCCGTGTAGGGGCGTACCTACATGGTAGTGATGGGGACGTCATGTTGCACAGCATAAATAACATCGGGCCTCCTAATCAGACAAAGACTGGCGTATGTAATACGCAGGACAGGGGGGTCAGGTATGGATGTATGTATGTATGTATGCGAGCAGGTATTCGCATACAGGGGCGTATGCATCGAGATACCGACTATTACCTACTACCAATACTTAGTAACAGCCAAAAACAGTTCTAACGAGAATCGGTGATGCTTAAGAGCTAGCGAGGATTTGGGGCGCACGCGACCAACAGAGTACAGGCCCACAGCGCCCACCGAAATAGCATACGACGCTCTTGCTGACGGTGGGTATTCTTGGTGGCTGTATGGGGTAGGAAGGGAGTTCGAGAAGCTGCAGTCCCAAGATTTGTTAACTCCGGATACTACCAATAAAACTTTCCGGACTTTACTTGCGCCTCATAGTGCTGTTACCTATCAGATTCCGATGCTTAATGACCATCGATCCACTGAGGGACGTATTCCGATCGTGGATGATGAGAATGTTCTAGTACTTAGTTGAGTGGTTCGTGAACTTGAGTAAGCCAAAATAGCTGGCTATAGCCTGGACCACACCGGGACACGGCGGAAGTCGAAGGAGAATCTTGGGTGACAATCAGGAACCAGCACGACTGCGAATATGCCGATCTGGCCCAAAGATCCAAAGAGAGTGGGCGGGCAAGGGGTTGGAGTCCGCGAACTGTGGGCTCGATAAGGGACATCTCCCGATCGACCCAGACATCGGCCCTTATCGCCGATCAATGGAAGGAGGGAATGTATGCCATTGTAATTTTTATTTGATTTTTTATTCTTTTCGAGCCGACGATCTCAGGTCTCAAGTAGGTCTGCTTCTTCAAGACTTCCTCGGTGTCAATCGGAGAAGTCAATTATTGATGCCTTTGTGTGAAGGAAGCCAAGTGTGTCAGCCTGGGACGTAGTGAGCTACTGCCCAAGGACAACGTGTTACTATGAGCAAGCCCTTCAGACCCGCTTGGCATGGGACTAATCAGGGCCAACTTTCACAAGCGGCCTATGGGTTGTCTCGAGGAAACACACAAGTTTTCCCAGTTGCATGATTGCTGCTCAAATCGGAGCACACACAACTTGTGAGGCAGTGGAAAAGAGAACGACTTTCCTTCTTTCTCCCCCTCTCCATCTCTGTGTGTATGTTGTGTATGCGAGCGAGCGGACAAGTTTCAGCGACTGTAACAGAAAGTTCCGTGGGATCAGATTATAGTTCTGCAAAGAGAACCCATCGAGACACTCTAACTTGTAAGGCAATCCATGAGGCTACCACAGCAACCACCCTTATGTCATAAAGTGAGCTTGTATGCACGGGCAGAATATGTAGATAGTGCACCTAAGGATTGCATCATGCAGACACAGAACGAGACAGAAATGGAAGGTCGGTATGTCGATGCCTTCACGGCCAGCAGTACCGACAGACTGGTTGCAGTGGATCTGTAGTGAGACACTATGTTACTGAACCGAATAGACTGTCTATGTATAGAAGGAGTTACTTACGGAGTATATACAGGTGGGAAAATGGTACGTACCTTGGGTTTACATACTATACATACTGTACGTTGTGCAAATCAAGGGCGGCGCTATGCATGATCCTCTCGGAAGCAGCGGGAGCACATGACACAAGATTTAATAAGATACTAATTCCAAAAATGACATCGAGTATCATCTTAGCCTAATCTACTTCCATACTAGTCAGTTATAAGTTAACTTCGGAGTTCGGAGCCCCCCAAAGAACTTCGTTGAATCGAGAATATTCTTTCCCTGACTCGATTTAGATTAACTTATATTGAGTAAGTTTTTTTTTTTTCGCTCAGCCTCCCATGACGTAACCCCGATTCGTCCGATCGGTCGGATCTCGGGGGGGCACAGATGCAGTGAAATTTGGCACCCTGAGATCCCGTCCGTGAGACACCTTGAACAAGGGTTCTGTTGGGCGTGTAGTAGTGGCGACTAATTAATTAATCGATTAGGCTTACTTTATCGGGCACCGGCGGCGACGGCTGAGGGAAGCACTTTTAAACGGTATGGAGGCTGGGCCACTTTAATCTCAGATTTGATAGATATGTGGCATGATCGTGATCGAGAATTAGCCAATGGGAGAGTCATGTCGGACGTGGAGACACGGCCTGTAGATTAATTCCAAATCAACCTACGGACCTTTTTTTTATTTTATTTTATTTTTTTTACATGGTTTGATTTTCCATATGCAACTTTTGACCATGTACTTACTCATCTGGTTGTATTCGGTAATGATATGGGAAAATGGTAATAGTTCACAGCTGACTGAGTACCATGTCACAACGCCGAAGACGGTCTTAAAGGAGAGTTTGATGGCATCTTTAGACAAACTATCTGTCCGTAGTTGAACAGACATCTTAGTTACTAGTCTCTGCTGGTGCACTACTTTGGGTTCACTACAAAAAGGGGAGAGTGAGTGTAATGGGGTTTCTCGGATGAATGACAGATTCTGTGAACTCTTCCATATGCAGACTATTGAAGACTATCTGATTTAGCCTATCGATAGAAAATATGCGGATACCAAAACAATCTCCGGGCCATTATAGGGGAGACCTGTCCAAGCCAGCCCGCGGAAATGGTTACACCTGACCTCACCAAGAAGGTGAGTGAGAGGCGTTCGAGGCGGTAAGCAGGATGCCGGGGATGAATCGGCGGTGAGAAGGGGGGAAGGGGTGTACAGGATAAGATCTTAAGCAACCATTAGCCACCGCCTTCTGTATGCACTCAGCATATCTTAGTCTAGGTATCTACATGAGGTGCGTCATCCCGAGGCCTGGAGCGTAGCCAATGTTTTGCTACTACTACAGTACTACTAAGTAAGTAGTTGCAGGAACAATTGACTCAGTAGTTAGTAGTTAGTAATTGGTTTTCGAGAACCCCTGCAAGATGAGACAAGATGAGATCGGATCGGTTCGATCGTTCGGGGTAGCGCAAGTACCACATAATCTGACAGCAATCGATCCAAACAGAAACCCTGGCATAATTTGTCTACCATCACTGAACTGATATTTGCCAGGCAACATGGCACTAGTGAACTGAAGTTATTCAGAGATTTGTCGGGCGAGTAGTAAGGAAATAGCTCGGCGTAGGCAACTCCGTATCTCATGTGCCAAAGCCACCAAGTCAGACATGGTACGAACTTGGAGGGCTTTCTGGTTGCTTCCAATCCCCCAGCGGGTTCTCCCCCGACCGTGCTGCTCATTGGTTACATGTGGGTCGGCCGAAAGCAAACTTAAGTAATCAATGTTTTGTTAGGCCCAATTCGGTAATCAGTTTCGGTTCACTGATCCCGCCTTCCACTGTAGAGCCCGGATATTCCGAGGTTTGACCCCAAAGCAATCCTATCTGTATTCAAACTGACCGATCCAAGGGACTTGGTGTATATGATTTACGGAACGGAAAAGGCATGGAAGCCTATAGACGCCACTTAAATGCATCATGGGGGCGTCGAAGTTGTGACTAGCGCAGGATCATCACCAATCGGGGTCATGCCGGTTAAACTATAGAACGCCCTGAATCAACACGTTGGTACGCTACAGAAGGGGCCAAAGAAGCAATGCCTGAGTTTATCTTGCCTA